CTTGTTGATGGACACCTGTTTCTCAATGGATTTTAAAATCCACCATGTTAGACTAAGTCTAGGATTTGGGACAAAAGTTAATGACAGGCAGCGTGTGGTGGGCTCAAGAAAACAATTAGATTGGTTATGTACAAAATGAATGAATTGTATTTTTTCAGAATATCCCCATTGAAGTGTGCTTAAATCTCTGAATCCTATTAATAAGCATCCAGTGACAGAGAGCTAGTGTTTTCTTCTAAGTATTTCCTTTTTCCAGCAGATGTGGGAAGTACCCTTGTCCTCGCTGTGGCCATCACCTTGCTTGATGTGTGCTGTTCTCCATATAGTGTCATGTTGTGCCACAGTTTTACAGGGAGGAGAGACACAAGGTGAAGGCTAGGTGCTCAAGCCTCTCTACCTTCTTTCTGTTTTAACCCCAGTCCCTTTCTTTCTGTCCTTAAAATGAAAATCAGTCATAGTGGTGGTACTTTTGCTAAAATTGACATACTTTCTCAGAGTGAGAAGATTGGAGGTCAAATACAATGGAACACAAGGAAAAGCAATTTGCAAGTCACAGCAGCTGCTCCTGGCAAACTTTGCAGGACAGGTGAATAAGAGAGAATATGGCATGCACTGCTAGCAGCAGTAGATGGACCATGGGCTTGCAGCCTCTCACATAAAAGAGCATGAGGGAACACTGAGTAATTTCATTGTTAATTTATTATGTGATTTATCAGCAAAGGCACATGTTAAATATTTCTTAAAAATGAAAATGTGACTCCATTCAGCTTTCAGTTGAAAAAACTGCATCAGTTATCCTTTTGGTTGGAGAAAGTGGCTTCTTGTTTGTGTTTTTGTTCTATTTCTTTCAAAAATGAAATCATACTAAATGGAATATCTGATCATTGGAGTCACAAAAGAACACTTCAGTCTAGTGTTCTGATCAGTTCCTGGAGTGTTATTAGGCAAAATAGAGGGCTAGATTTGGGGAGGAAGGAGGGGATGTGGAAGAGTCCACATCTCTTTACATGCTGGTGGACTAAACAGCTTCTAATGTCCCCTGGATCGTGTTCTAATAGCACCTTCATTATTGACGATGTCAAGATCTTCAGGGCTCAAGTCATGCTCTGTGATCGTAAAGAAACTTGGGATATTATCAGGCCCTGAATACTGGGTGGTTTTCTGCCTTGAAAGGATTCAGGAAACTGGAACCTTTGAACGTTTACTTCCAGAAGGATCTTCCCTACATGGCTAGGGCGACCCTTTCTGTGAGGCCTTGGCTATAGATCTGTTGACAAATACTCAGCCATCTATTCTTTGAAAGGGGGTCTATAGTTAAGGCAGATCCCCAGACACAGGGAGAGAATTTTGTTGCAAATCCCCACAACCCTGTTTTTGTATGGTTTTTGAAGTGTCATTTTTCTCATGTGATCTTATTTAATATCCTATTTTCCTAACTTTAAGTTACTGCTCTTCTTTTTTGTTTTTTGCTTTCTGCTTCCCCTTGATGAAACAATACAGTAAAAATTTATTAAATCAATGACATGGAAAAAACATGGAATCTATTTTTAATTAAATATATATCCTATGTTACCTGAAAACTACTGTCTGCATATGGATTTAGTTTATCTTTTCTGACTTGTGCTGGACTTAACTTTTTTAAAATGTTCACTTAGTATACAATAGATTACATCTCACTAAGTATAATTTTGGCCTATGTATTTTTAGTTATGGCAACTACTTGACCAGTACTTAGGAGAAGAAAGGAGTTAGTCTCAGGTCAGACAAGAGGGAAAGAGAAAGATCTAGGGAATATTAAGGCCAATGCTAATGATAAGTTGCACCATCAGCAGCAACAACAAAAAAGAAAACAAACAAAATACAAACCTCTTCCACACCTGACCTGGAGTAGGGAATCAGCTTGCTTTCATCACATCTGGGAAACAGGTGATGAAATTGTTCTGTGTGCAGACTTGATACCTAGTGCAAACTCTCAGACATCAGCTATCAAATTAGTAAAATGAAGGCGAACATCAATGGATGATGCTTCACAGTCTTTTATTTTCAGGAAAATAGAGAGTTGGTTAAATGATAATTTAAAAAGAAACAAAATGTCATTTGGGAATAAAGAATGGTACATTCTCATCGGGTCCAAAATATTTTCTCTGTGACCAGATTAATAAAGTTTATAAAAAGATGAGACAACTTAATTTTTTACCAGGGTTTGGGTTGGGTCCTTGCAACTCTGTTCCAAGTTGCAGCTTGGAAATGTAATTGGTTTTAATTAATCATGAAGTAGTGCCAGAAAATTGTTGGCAGTCTTACTGTGGGTCTGGGCCACTTGAAATTCTGTTTTAACAACTTCCTGCCCAACCCCTCTTTTGTTTTTTTTTAATTTTTTAAAAAATATAAAGCCAAGAAGAATGGGGGAAAGGTGAATAGATATTTTTCTTTTCAATCCAGCAACTTGTGCAAGAACTCTTAATTATACAGAAGAGATAATTCAGCAAGATATGCACTGACAGAATTATATTTTATCCTATTTAAAAAAGGGAAAAGATTTTGTTTTTCTGAGTTCTAACTATTGGGCTACATTTAAGCCAAAAGTTTATAAATGAGTGAAGTAAGGATTGAAATAAGAAAGACATCCAGCCTCTATCCTAAAATGGGAAGAAAGTAGATTAATATTTAGAAAATCAGAGGCTAGTCCTTGATCTGTCACACTCAAGCTGAGTGATCATGGGTAAGTCGTCACCATTATCATTACTTTTCTTGTTTATGACAGATTTGGCAAGCATCAAGGGAAATCCATTACCATTCAAGAGATTATCTCTGTTTATATACAGTGTAATAGAATATTGGCTCTGATCACTTACTTCATAATTCATGACTTATTCATGCTTTTTTTTTTTTCCCCATGAACTTCATCTGTCTCTTCTACTAGACCTTAATCTCACTCCAGGTGGGAAAAGGTGTTGCTGTCTTCTTGGGCTCAGCATTCAATTGATGTTCACTAAGATAACTGTTAATTAGGAGTTAAGACTCTCCATCATTTAAAATCATTTCCCTAAATGTAATTTAGGCCTAGTGGAAAGACACTGCTTTTTTACACTCAGTGAGAAAATGGCTTAATACTAACTCTCTGTCCAACTAATCAGGATCCTGCAAGGACACCATCTAACCTGTCTGTGCCCCAGCTTTCTCATCTACCACATAGATGTGATGATATTTTAAAGTGCATTATAATGATTAACAGATAAGAGAGTTTTTTGACAAATTAAAACTACTATCTAATTTTGGTTGTTATCCTTAATAACTTTTTGTGAGAATATAAGAACGATTTTGCTCTCCTGGATGGATGCATGAAGAGGTAACTTGCATAAATGTGTGGTCACAAATCATTGTTTGAGCATTCGTAATCAGTGTCTATTGTCTTGAAATCCCAAGTGGGTCTTGGCGCCATACCCTTTCAAGGCAGGATTTCCCCAGTTCAGGTTCAGACGGGCCCTGTCAGCCCACAGTTTCCTCATTCTGGTGCTCCATGTTAGAAAGGTTGGCATTTTGAACTGCATTCCCTTGGCTTCTGTAATGGTCCTGCCACTTAAGAGAATTCATTAGCCAACTAGAGCCCTTAATTTGCCATGATAGAAGCCCTTACTAAGAGAGAAGGTGGATCAGCCTGCCTTCCCCAAACTCTGTTAAACTAGTATCATTCCGAGTCACTAACATATGTGCTTCAGGATGGGACTGTCAGAACCAACTCAGGTTCTGGGCAGCTGAGCACTCACTGGGTCCCATGCATTTAGTTCAGGCTTCCTACCATCAGGGTCTGTTCCATGTGTCCTCGTGGATGGCCCCAAGGACAAGTCCTTCACTCAAATACAGTTTAAATATATGTAGTGCATGCCTAGCACAGAATGAGTATTCAGTTTTTTAAAATTAACTAATGAAGGATTCATATAGTGGCATCTAATGAGTAGCTAGTATATCCATAATTGGGCGGGCCACATAAGAAATATGTGACATGGTTCTATAGCAAATATTGCAATTTACTTCAGAAGACAAACCATGCATACATGAAATTTTTGAGCATAAAAGTGGGGATGGGTTTAAGTAACAGAATGGATGATTTGAAGTATAGGGCTGTAAGAATTCAAAGAAGTCCAGACCAGTGAAAAATTCTCTTAGGAAGTGAAATTTGAGGTGGACTTTGAAAGATGGATGGATGAGAAGAAGAAAGAAGATTGCCATTCTGAGAAGTAGTAACAGCATGTGAAGCAATGAAGGGAAATGGGTGTGTGTTTTACTCTTTACTTTTGAGAAGTTGGGTGAGGGAGTGATGGTGAGTATTTAAAATAAAATAGGATTACAGCATACAATATATGTTATAACCTATAGGAATACTCATACATATATATGAAGATGTGTGCATAAAGATGTTTATTAACTTAAAATAGCAAAAAAAACCCTGAAGTAATTTAAATTCCATCAATAAGGAAATAGTTAAGTGATTTATGGTACATTCACATCATGAAATACCAGGAAGTGGTTTTGAAAAGAATAAAGTAGATCTTTGCTGACAAAAAAGACCACCATGGAAAGGCATAACAGTATATTAATGACAAAAATTCATTCTTGTAATATCCATCAACTTTAAGAATTGATTTAAAAAAATCAAAGTGGTATTTCAGGAAGATTAATGTGATATTGTATCAAATTAAGTGATAGCAGTTGGAAGTGAAAAAGGATATTGGGAGATGTTTGCATGAATACAGATCTAGGGGCCAAGGGTATGGACCTGAATGGTAGAGAAAGAGGAGAAACCCAGAGACTTCTGAAGAATGACTTGGAAGGACTTCGTGACGGATTCTGAACTTAGGGGATGGAGAGACAAGAGAAAAGAGACTTCCAGGTTTGAGTTTAGGGAATGCACACTGAAGAATGATTACTAACTGGAACATTCTGTATCAATAGGAAACATTCTTTAAAGAAATTTTTTTTTACTTTGTTTTGTTTCTCAGGATGGAAGAAACAGTACGAAATCTGTTACAGAGTCAAGGACCTCCAGAACAGAGAAAAGAAGAAACTGTTAATATAATGATCTATCAGGTACACCATGTTTCTTACTCTTGGCTGGGTACCCATTGGGCTTGTTTTTCTTGTATTTCTCTAGCTCCATCCTCCCTAACCCAGAGATAAATATACCAGTATGGTCCATACCTGGAGCTGGGAGCCATTCAGTCACTTCTGTTGGAGAAATCATGTACACGTTTATTTGACTCATTCATTGCTTAAACTTCGACTGTGAAACAAATCAGATTTAGTTTTAGGAAGGTATAAAAAATAAGTTTATAGTGACATAGAGAAGCCTATCTAAGTTTGCAATACTCTGAGATCAATGCTGTAAGACAGGAACCTACAACATTCTTTGGGAACACAGGGGAGGGAGTGACTCATCCTCTGTGGGGAGTTCAGGAATGGCAGTTAGGGTGGACCTGAGGAATTGAGAAGCAGAGGAGGGACACTCCAGGCAGCAGGGAAGCCTGGCTAAGTGTGCAGTGGCATGCATTTGCACGGCAGGCTCACAGAGAAGAAGCTCAAGGTAACAAAATGATGGCCTCGTGAGAGAAAACATTAAATGGTGTGACTGAGGTGAATGGAAGAGTCAGATGAGGTCATGTATGCATACAGTGCTCACAGGCATGGCCTTGTACCTCATGCAAGGAGAGTAAGTGGTCAGTGAGGTGACAAGCTGTTACTCTTCAGACAACCCCTGCTCTTCAGTTCTTTAACACTAGCAAAGTGGGCAGGTGGGGAAGCCAGACATCTAATCTGATTATATCCTAAATTGACCACACAGATGAGAAGGTTCTGGCAGTGTAGGACATGGAAATATAGTGCAAAGAGCTTATCTATATAGACAAACTGAGGACTTTTATTGAAAATCACATGAAGTCACAAAGAGACACCCAGTATCCATTGCATATCTATGGACAGAGAATTAAACAAGCTAAAGAAGGCAAGGAAATGGGCAGAAATTTGAGGTAATCACTGGGCAGCCCTGGTCTTTGGCTGACTAAAAAACAAGTGGGTTTGGGGAGGCATGCATAGGAACCTGGCTGGTGAAGATAATTTCACAGTAGCTTCCTAGAATTCATGAGTTCAAGGCTATGCAGCCCAACTTGTTATGAAGACAATTAGAGGAATCTGGTACCAGAAGTCACGATATCATGCCAAGGTAACAAAGCTAGGCAGGGTTAACCTTCCAATGTCTGCATCTTAAATAGCTGACCGTCGAAACATACACAGGGCTATCTTAGGACAACTGTCCTCCACCTCCTGTGACAGCAATGGAAGGAGTTAGGTGACTTAAGCTACCTCAGAGGAGGTGAAGTTAGCTCTGTAAAGACAGTAGAAAAACCACTAAAATCCATTTCTAGGAAAAGGGTTTAGATTCTTCTTAAGGGGGTGGTCTTTACATAGGGAATGCATGGCTCAGCTTTTCCAGACGTGCGGTTGCCTCAAGTAGGGATGAGGATTGACATCCTCCTAGCCCTGAGTCTTTCCCAGGCACTTTTATATCTGCTTTGGTAGGAAACTGAGGTATAAGTAAAAAATGGGACTTGATTCTGTATTAAGTGTTTCTGTGCAGCCTACAAGTCATAAGAATCTGAGATGTAAGGCGTTTGTTCCCCTCACAGGTAAGACCAGACTTCACTGAGAACTAAATAATCCAGCATCTCTCCTGTGCTTGTTCCATCTCCTTACTGCAGCTCAGTTTCATCCAGGTTCTTGTTTTCTTTTGGTCACTCTTTTCTAACCTCTCCACCACTTCATAGCCAAATCTGTGGTGTAGACATCTAACATCCTCATCAGACCTCATTTTGTGAAACTGGACGCTACTTAGTGAAACCAATAAACTTTAAAACATACGTTTTAAAACTGTCTTCTCTCTGCACCCCAATCTATTAGATTTGGGAAATTAGCTTTTCCCTCTAGAGAGGAGACTGTTATTAACTTGAATTAATGTTACACAGAAGGGATTTTTCAGTCATTGCCCTAATTGGCTTGAGGCTCATTACCTGGAAAATGGGAGAAGGCCCTGGGTTACTTGACCCATAAAAGTCCTTTATACATTTAACAGATATTTCATGAGCTTCTAGTATGTACTAGGCACAACCTTATTCTCTGGGGACTCAAGAAGTGAAGGTAAAAAGAATGGAAAAAGCTGTGTGTCTGGGTGGCACTGAGTCCCAGGGGGTCCCCTCATCTCACCCATGCTAGTATTCTAAATATGGCTCATGGTAGGAAAATGGCTTGTGTAAGATGTATGTGGACATATTGGTGGGACATGTAGTTAGCACCTCCCTGAAGTCAGCTGCTGGGTTTCAGGTAAAAGCTGGGAAATTTATTGCTTCATAATATGGTGTGTTATTAGCTTATCTGACACAGATTTTTCAACAGCAAGATTTCTCTGACAGGAGCCAGAGGCCCATATAAAGCTGAGGCCCATGGGAAAGCTGAAATTTGTTTCATTTTCCATTGAGGAAGTGTTTGTTCTGAGGCCTTTATCATTGAATTAATATAATAATAGCAGAGTAATTGTCTTCTGTGTTTGGGGTCCATGGTAATTGATTTGCCTGCATTAAAGGGTGGTTGTATTTTGGCCAAGGGGTGTGTTCCTGAGGACCTCTCATAATTTGTTACTTGTATAAATTATAACTTGGATAATTCAGCATCAAACCTCTTAAAGAGCGGTGGGTCCTTTTGTTTAGCAACTGAAGTGGACCCACCACATGGCAGTCAGTGGTTTAGTGTACCAGCTTTGCCATTGTGCAGTCCTTGACTCCTTTTAATTTGGAGAATTTGCATTCTTTCAGATTTTGTGCATGAAATGTTATTAGTACATTTTTATGTGACCGTAATTTCAAATTTGCCTAGTTCCCACTGAATGTGGTTAGTTGGTAGATCACTCAGTCCCCACAACTTTGTGCAGGAGGTACTGCCACTAACTCCATCTTCAGACATGGTACAGCTGAGCACATGCCCGGGGATTCACAGCCTGGAAGTAGCCTAGAAGGGATTTGAACCCCAGTCAGTCTGACTCCATGGCCTCAGCTCTTTATGCTGAGGAATTCTGGAGAGATAAAGTAATGGTGTCCCTCTTACCCAGCTGGTTATTATTTAAGTTGGGACCTGAACCTAGGCCTTTCTACTTGCTATCTAGAACTCTCCCCATTCATTCATCCATTTCCTCACTCATTCATTCAAATAACTGCTATTCATTTACTTTTTCACCGAAGTGTATTAGTTTCCTATTGCTGCTGCAACAGACTTAGTGTCTTAAAACCACACACATTTATTCTTGTATAATTCTGGAGGTCAAAAGTCTAAAATCATGGTGCTGGCAGGGCTACATTCTGGAAGGTTCAGGAGAGAATCGTTTCTTTGCCTTTCCAGATTCCAGCATTCCTTGGCTGTGGCCCCTTCCTCCATCTTTAAAGTGCATCACTCCAGACTCTGATTCCATTGTCATATCTCCTTTTCAGAGTTTGACCCTCTTCCTTTGCTTACAAATACCCTGTAATTATATTGGGCCCATCCAGATAATCCGGAATAATGTCCCCATCTCAAGATCCTTCATTTAATCACGTTTGCATAGTCCCTTTTGCCATGTAAGGTGGCTATTCATGGGTTTCAGGGATTGGAATGTGGACGTATGTTGGGGAGTGACTTATTCTCACCCTAGCATGTTAACATAGCAGCCTGCCAGTACCTAGCGGACATGAAACTAAGTGCTGGAGATACAATGATGCGAGCTTGATAGAGGCCTTTTCCTGGAAAGCTCAGTTTGCGGGAGTGGAGGGAAGGCAAATAATCAAATATGTGCAACAGTGTGCTAGGAGCCAAAGAGGCAGCTTGCGTGTGTTCTGGGGACAGGAGGAAAGATGCCACCAGACCTACTGCACTATTCTCCACGGAGGCTCTGCCTCTGCTGTGATAATCTCTTTCCCTTTGTTTTAGTTTCTGTGTTCTCTTGAAATGGACTCAAGAGGCATCACCTTCCTCCTGAGCCCCACTGCCTGCCTTTCTCAGAACATCTTATATCCCAGTATTTGAATATAACATCAGACTGTCAGGATATGTATGTTTGGTGCTTTAAGTTTACAAAGCACACAAAATGGATCTCATTCATTCATTCCATCAGCCTCTAAAATATATATTGTCATGCCCATTTTTAAGGGTAAGTCTCAAAGAGGACTTCTTCAACTGGTAAATGCTGTGATGGAACTAGAAATAAACCACCAACTCTCCTAAATAGGGTATACCAGACAAAACTGAGCAGCCATCTGTGGGGTAGTTTGATGGCGGGGTGGGGAGTGAGCACAGTCTGAACTCCCTAGCTCACAAACTCACTGTCTCAAAGTACAAAAAATAAGTGAAAGTAAGCTGAGATAAATTAAGAGGCCATGTCATGGCCATGCCTGTCATCTCCTGTAGGAGAAATATCGTCATTATATGTAGAGAAAATGGTATACCTAGCACCTGGGGCAGTTTCATTTTGTTAGGGGCAAATAGAAGGCCTCAAAAGATCATCAGCACAGGAATCTGAATTAAGTAGAAACGTCTCCACACCCTTTCTGCTTTTTCCTTCCTCCAGCTCATTCTCTCTAGGTGTTTTGGGGTTTCTTGTGTGTCATGTCATGTATTCTGGCCACCCAGTTACGTAAGTAGGAAACATGTTAGAAAAACCATTCATGATTAGACATGAAAGTGGGCAATTAAACATAAGTGAAATGGAGCAACTACTTGAGACAGGCATTCTTCCTTCCTTCAGCTGCATCTGCAGCAGAGTATTTGAACCCGGAGCCTGACTGAGGTGTGGATAATCAACATTAGCAATGGATTTCCCCATTTGCAGTTATCTGTCTGCAGCTTCCTTCGGTGCACCTTTGTTGGAGCTGCTAAGACTTACTCTGCTCTCTGCTTTTCTGTGTAGAGCATGAATTAAACCCATATTGCCTACTTCACTGAGAAAGAAAAAGTAGATGGACAGGTGGAAATATTAATCAGGGGAAAACAGACCTGCACATGTTATAGCTTGTGCC